CCTCTGATGTTTGCTTTGCAAGGTGTGGTTTCTTTCAGCATTTCTTGCCACGATGTTGATTAGGCCACCCAGATACATATTGATCAGTAAATATCTGTTAAATTGTTACAGAAGTCTCATCTCAAGTTTTTGTTGGGCTCTCTGAAACGTGGGTAGCATAGAGTGCCTTACAAAACCCTAACAAAAAACTGGAACGCCAAGGCTTTTGAGGAATGTTTATGAACATTAAAATATGTTCATGGCTCTCTTCATACCTTGAGATTTCAAATGTCTCTCTTCACGAGCGTCAGGTGAATGGCTTCAGGCCCTTTTACTTCTTGCTTTTGTGCATGATCATAATAAGTATTTGGAGAATATGAAAATAAACATCCAAGCAACAGGAATTTTTCTTTATGCTTACATTCAGTATCTGCATTGTAGAGCTATGGTGGGGATGCATATCAAGAGATAGAAGGTGTTTTTTTTTTCCTTTAAGGAACAAAATAAAGCAATGGAAGGAGCCAAGGTAGATTGGAGATAGCTTTCCAGTTGTTTCTGTAGCCCACCAGTGGAATTCTCTACTTAATGGCAGCTTTCAGAATGCCGAAGCCTTTCCATATCTTCCTCCCTCCCACCTCCTGCTATTTTGCAAACAGTGAAAAGGAATTTGTCCTTTGAAATGCATTAAATTATTAGCATCGTAATTATATCATGCTTGTTAATGTCCTTTTTTTTTTAACCATTGCTTTTCTCTGATCCCCATTCTTTACAGAATATTCTCTCAGAAGGAACTGCAAACTGCAGGACAAATGCAAACCCATGTATGTAGACATATACATGGAATAACCAGTAGAGTTGGGGGAAAGGTATAATTATTTTATTTCTGGCTGGGGGGAAAAAAGGGCACTGGGCACTTTTTTAATGTTTATTATTATTATTTAAATGTTTAATTACAAAAAGAAGAAAGAGGTACATAAAAGTGCTTTAACCAAAGAATTGTAAAAAAATACAACAAAGAGAAAAAAAGTTTTGTTTTTTTTAAAAGCACATTTTGTTCATTTACAGTTGCAGTGGAAGGCAGGAGTGCAGAGAGGTTCAAAGAACAGTCAACTATTTGACCACTTATAGGCAATTAGGGTGAACCCTACTGGGTCCATATTTTCTGCAAGCTCCACAATTTCAAAATATAGGCATGCCCAGTGATTACAGCATTATGAATATCCGATAGGCCTGTGAAAGGTAAGGCAACCTAGCAGTATTTGAATTCATTTAACTGTACATTGCAAAGGGTTGGCAAATGATCTGGCTAGTGATTTTTTCAATCACGTGGTTTTTCTCCTTCAGGTGTGGTAGTAATCATTAGCCAGTTCCCTGTAGGGTAGAAAAAGAGTTATCCAAAATTTAGACTCAGCACAAAACATGGGAATGTTTGAGATTTCCTGTAGAGAAATGTACTTGGTTTTGCAATATAAACTGCACAGTGTGATAATTGCTGTTTTAAAAAGCATAAAAGCGAATTGTTGAAGAATGATTGCTCATGAGACCTTTGATGAAATTGCATGGCTGTCTAATTTAGACATGATTTATTTCTGAATTTCTGTAGGTCTGCAAGCTTTATTTGATTTAACTGGTAGCCAATTCAACTATAAATTTAACTGAATAATGAGCAGATGACAAATTTTAATTGGCAGAGCTGAAAGCTAAAGGCACCACAGGTTCATTATTTTGAGGCATTTTGATTCTGGTTTGTTATTGCAAGAGAATAGGAAGCTATTAGATATGATTTTTCTTTCTAGTAAGGAATAATAACTATGGTCTCTTGGATCTGCTGGATTGAGAATGATTGAAAATCCAGATAGACTGATAATTCATCCCAGGACAGCTTGACAAAGGGCCTTCAAAAAGAATATCCATGATGTCTTTCCTCTTTGCTGGGCAGCTGACCCTTACCTCTGACACTGGCAAGTCCTCTTGGCAAGTAAATGTTGCTTAATTTGTGCTATCCTCTTGGCTTGTTGCTGACAAAATACAAAAGACAGGTTCTTCTATTTTCATGTTCTTTCAGATCTACTTCCACTGGCTTTTGTTGTGGATCCCAGCCTCCCTTTTGGTTTATGGACACCTAGAGACTCACCCGTTTCCGCTTAATATGTTTACAAGTAGGCACGCAGATGCCAGCAAGAATTAACAGAAGAAGTGTTGCACCAGCTCCTGAGGCTATTTCAATCAGTGGGAATCTACTCTCGACAGTCCATTCATTTGTGGTCTTTCCTGTGGAAAAAAGATCTGAAGTTGAGGACAGTAGGATGTGCACAGATACAGAGGAAGGAACAAGATGGGAGTGTTACTAAACTTGGAACCTACCCAGAGTATAGTTAATACTGATCTTCACGTTGTTGTTCACTTTGAGATCACACCTCCAGAGCCCTGCAGTTGTAGCTATGTGACAGAATTTATTCTCTGAAATGGGAGAGCCACATGTGGGTTTACTCATAGACTCATTTACATTAACCCAGCACAATTCAGCCAGTGGAGGGGCAGGCTTGATGTGACCACACAGGGTCACATTCTCTTTAGAACTGAGCTCATCAGGGACAGCAGAGACTGCAGGGAAGAAAGGAAAAATATATTAGGGAAACAGTTTCTACAAGATTTAGGAGAGAACGTTCTTTACCATAAAGCATATTTTGTCATATGATCTAAAGGGCCAGGCTGTTCATGCTGCTGGAAAGAGTCCTCTCACTGGAAAGAGGACAGATTCTATGACATCAAAGGATACAGACACAACTTAAGTCAGCAGGATGCAAAGGAAGATGATCCAAGTTTTTCCCATATTTTGGCACCAAAATACGTAGCTGTTCAATTACATATTCAACTTTCAGAAGCCAGCTTCCAGGAAACAAGTAGCTCAAAGTAATTAGCAAATACTTGGGATGTTTCAGCCATAATCTTATGCAAATTATATAGATTGAACCATCAAATCAATTCTTCTCCTAGCATCATTGCTCCTTTCCAAAGTGAGAACTCTCCTGTTTTAAGCTTAATAATGAAGATGAGGAGTTATCTTTGTTTCTCAACCAGAAGTTTCCCCAGCTCCAAATCAGACCGTAGGCACAGCAACCATGCTGCGTGTGTCTTAGGTCCTATCAACACATGTCCTTGGCCATCATGCTAGAGAGAGCAGAGTTGGGACAATTACAATCCCACAAAACATTGCAGATATCCATAGGGCAGAATGGAAAATGGATTTTTAAACATCATACTAAAATCATACTTTTCAAAGTGTCGGAATTGATCAAATGGTATAATAGCTCACTATGTTGCATGGCTTAATAAAGTAGATACCACCTTCCACATTACTAAGAAAAGGATCCATCAGTTCAGTATAGGGTAATTTAAATGGGACTTATTTCTGACTAAACATGCATAGGATTCCACTGTAAATGCACCACATAAAATAAAACTTTGAACTTATTTTATGAAGTTATGAGAATGGAAAAGAAAACATTTTCCCATCAAAAATGATATCTTTATTAAACTATGGGTATGCCACATTTCCTTCATTAAAGTAAAAGTTCTGCTTTGGGATAGGAGGATGGGGGTACCGTTTATACAAAGCATCGTATTTTCCTGCTGTTTATCTCTAAAGCCCTAAACAGTTTGGAATATCAGGACCCAAAGGAGCGCCTCTGGAGTGTGTTGCCTTGTCTTAAAGTTCTTCAGTGGAGGTTTTTTGCTACAGGGACCATCCTCCCATCCCTGTGCGCTCATCTCTCCCTCCTCCCCGCCCCACCAACGGGATTGGAAACTGCTCAACTCCTGCTGGCCACTTTAGGCTACTCCAGGTGTGCCTCCTGTCCACTGGGCACTGGGAGCTGTCCCCCATGGCCACAGAGGCAGTAGGCAGGATAAGAGAAGCACATCAGGTCTGATGCAGGCCTTATATGCATGTTCAAATCCCTGTAAAAGGTTAAACACATAAAGCCTAACACAGTGTTTCTCAACCTTGGCCATTTGAAGATGTGCAGACTTCAACTCCCAGAATTCCCTAGCCAGCATGGGGAATTCTGGGAGTTGAAGTCCACACATCTCCAAGTGGCCAAGGTTGAGAAACACTGGCCTAACATATGGGGGCTACCTATGCCTGATAAGTTCCAAGAACAAAACCAGTCATATAGTGCCTCCTAGTGGTCCATAGTGAATGTAACCACTGTAATACCAAGATCACCTCAGGAGAGAGGTCTTGAGCATCTAGTATGAGGTGCAGACAAATGAACTGCAGATGAATAAGAAAAGAAAGTGTACCATTCATAGCACCTTCTATGCATCAGTTTAACCCCTTCCTAGACCTGTATTTAAAAATAGGATTAATGCTTTTTGGAGAGAATGCTAGGCCTGTGCTGCATAGAAGTTTGACTGAACCCTGGAAAGAGCCAGGTTTGCCAACTGTGAGTTGCTGGTTCTGTCACCACTGGCTTCACGACAGGTTTTCCACTGCTTCTGCTGACAAGTGGTGGTGTGTGTGGTCGAGAGGGTACCATTTAGCCTACTTTGCTCTTTCCAGGTGTTGCCAGCAACAGCCACCTGCTGCCAGTGTTGCCATCCCCTTGTGACATTAGGGTAGAGCTGGCTGGTTCTTGATTGTTCCCACTGCTTCCTTCCCGTTTCCTCCTCCATACCTGTTCCCTGTCAACCAGGTTACTTCTCAAGATCTACTGCTCTTTTGGAAAGGTGCTAGACCTGTGCTCAGAAATAGCCTGACTGATGGGTCATAGGGTTGTGCCAAGTAGGAGCATCAGGAGAGCTCCTCACATCCTTCCTCTGTGCCTATCATCTGTCAGACTGGCTATTTTGGGACACAGTGCTTCTGAAACAGCACTAGACCCAGTCAGAAATAGACCAACTGGCAGATCTCAGACTCAGAGCACATCCATGTCAGGCAACCTCAGTTAAACTTCTGTTGAACTCAGCCCATTTTGCCCCACCACCTGCTAATGGGAGTGATTGTTGCTTTTCCCGCCAGTAGGCAATGCTCAATGGGAGGAAAGCAAAGCAAGAGGGATCCACCGATGGCTTTCCTTAACTTGTCCCGCATTAAAACAGCAAGGACAGCACCACTCACTCGCCTCTTTATTGAAGCAGAGGAGAGGTCACGAAGGAGCGCATCACAGCGGAGGCCGGGATACTTTTCAAAATTATTCCGAGGGTTTGGGAGTGAAAGACAGTGGCTTGTAGAAGTGCTGTTGCATTTGTGCATTATATGGCAAAGGGAAGATAGCCTAAATGGAGGTGCCTGGATTGCGAAGGATGCTTTCAGTTTTGTTCTTAATAAGGTAATGAATTATTATAAAGAAATATAAATAGATTGGGTTCTGGAATTCCTCCATTATTAATTTCAAGAAGGTTGAGTCTTTGAGAATGTAAAAACATGGCTGTGTTGGTGTTCAGAGGCAATAGTACCTATGATTCATATAATAATTTGGAATTCCATGGTACCATGAAACAAAGGGATCAAGACTTATTCCTACCTGTCATAACTATCAAGTTGATGTTCTTATTCAAATTCCTGTGATTAAATCTGAGATGGCATTGGTACTTTCCAGCATCTTCAAAATGGACTCGGGGTATTCGTTTGGTGGGGAAAGAGTTATTCATGTTGCTTATGTTCTGCTCCTCCACAACAATATTATTCTTAACCAATTTCCAAGATTGGACTCTTGGAATCTCTGGATCTTTTTGATTTTCCAGGTTGATGTTCAAAGGACATGAAAGGTTGAAGCTGCTGTTGAGAGCGGCAAAATTGAACTCATCCAAAGGATTGGGAAAACCTGATTTTATGACCAACCAAAAGAGAAAGCAACGTATGATCAGAATTGTATGAATTGCTGCTTTTTCACTGTAGAAAAAGACTAAAGTCCTTTCCCCTCTGTTGAGTTAAAGTGCTAACCATGAGATGGCACAAAGCAGTGCTGGTGCAACATATGCTTCCCTCTGAGCTAATCCCTGCTCTGCCTGTGTGGTGGCTGTTTCAGGTTACTACTGCGAGGGGTTTCCCTGCTTTGTGAACATGACACTCGTGATAGGCAAGGTAATTGGCTTTCTACTCTTGGGTCGCAGCCAGCCCATTTTAGCAGGTCGGCAGCTAGTAGGGAGAACATCCACCAGTCTGGATACTGCAGAAGGAATGGGGAGGATCTGACTTCAGGACTCTTGTCCGGCTCATCTGCCTTCTTCTCACACTCCACTTGGGTATCTCCCAAGTTAATAATGTGGAATAACGGAACAGATGGGAAGCCCCAAGGGCAGAAATAGCTCCAAAGAAAGAAAAGCAGACCCTGCCATGATTGTGAACTAGCAAGATCCTGTAGTCTGGAGTGGTGAAATTGACTGGATCCTGGGCAACTACAGTGGTAGCTCGGGTCACGAACTTAATTCATTCCGTGACTCTGGTCACAACCTGAATTGGTTGCGACCCACATCAAATTTTCCCATAAGGTTCAATGTAAATACGGTTAATCCGTTCTGAACCATATGTATTTCTTTTTTAAACCACAAAAATATGACACAAAGTACAGTACAGTACACTATGAAGAGAGAGAGAACACTAACCTTGCTTGAGGCGTGGAGGACAGGAAGGCGGGTGGGGATGCGGTTATTGTTTGGAGGGAGAGTCCCCCTCACTACAGGAAGCCACAACCATGTGTCACGGCAGGGAAAAGGGCCACGGATCCTGTTCGTCACCTGATGCTGAGTTCGCGAACGGAAGCAAAATTTTGTGAACGGTGCTGTTCGTGACCCGAATTGGTCATGAACAGAAGCGTTCGTGACCCGAGGTACCACTATACTTCCCCAGTCAGGAGGGATGGAAAAGTCATTGTAACAGTAAAATTCAGGGAAATTGGTAAAACAATCAACGAAGTCCCAGTTCAACATCCCTCGTTGTTTTACTGCAAAGGGCAATGAGAAGCGTAACAATAACTTTGCTTGCTCACACTGGAAAAAGAGATTCTGAAGTTTTTACTGCAAAGTTTTGACACAAAATCGATCTGATAAAACACAGGAGGATAATGCAGACAATGGACTGCCGTGATTAGACAACGATATTGTTCTATCCTATTTGTATTGTACATGTGAGTTAATGTAGGATGTAAATTCCAAAAAAAGAAGTAGTGTGGAAGCAACCTTATCTTTGCAAAATGCTGGACTACATTTCAAAATGCAGTGATATGGGAAGCAGTTAGCAGAGCAAGTTACTGTTGATTCTGGATTTTCTGTGAGGAAAGACTTTGAGAGAACCCAAGTTCCAGGCTCTTAGAACCAAATTTAGTGACTTCTCTTACCTATTATCTTGACGTTGTAGGGGATTTTGAGCTGATCAGGAAAGACATGACATTCCCACATCCCATGGTCCTCCTGAATTGTAAGGTTTGTTATCTGTATACTATCTTCCTGCACTTTCCATCGTAGTTCTTTTCCTGTTACTTTGGCCTTTTGGGGATTAAACCATTCAATTCTGTTATCTTCCATGTTGAAAGGAGACAGATTCAGCTTTAAAGTGTCACCTTGCAGGAGGTATCCACTTTTAGATCCAATAACTGTCAAAGAAAGAAGGCCTACTGGTAAGTTTTTCTTCCCATCCCTCCTCCCAAGGATAATTTGTTTATGTATTCGTTCATTCAATAATAGGGAGAGAAAAATATAGATAGATGATGGAGATAGACAGACAGACAGACAGACAGACTGACTTCATGGTCTCTGTTACATCATTCACCTTTCCACACTTTAACTTCATAAGTAGTCTCCAGCTTTCCATCCACTTCACAGGTATACAGCCCTGTCTCTGCCTTTACCAGTTCTAGAGAGAAGGACTCATCATTATTAAGTGTCCACATTTCAGACTTTTCACCTTTGAAGAAAACAGAAATGGATGGAATTAAACCTTAAACACAAAGAGTCATATCCCCCTTTATTGGCTATATGTGGAATGGCCCAACCAGTTTTACCTTTAAAAGGGTTTCCTTGAAATATCTTTAGCAGAAGTTTGTTGTTATATTTCCAGATCAATGTAGCTGGATTTTTCTTGTCAGTGCTATCTAGACAGTGAAGGATGGCAGGCTTGCCAGCAATAACATTTACCTTTTCAGCCCTCACAGTAACAGGAAGCATTGCCCCTGGAAGAGCTGGAGGGTCAAAATAATGGAAGAACAAAGGAAAGTCAGCAATGGGGCACAAATGAGATTTCATCAACACTGAATTATGGATGTTTCTGAGCTCAAAGTTCATAATCCAAGTTACTGTATTATATTGACCTTTTATTTTATGTTACTCGTTACATTTTAACATGTTTATTTACATTTTAAGCATCTGCTGTTTTACTCTGGAGTTTTCAGAAGGTCTGCAATCTCCAGAAGTCTTTGCCACTATAAAAGGCATTTGTTCTGAAACAAGGTCAAGGAGAAAAGAAGAATATATTGATCAGCCTCCAGGACAAGGAAGAGTGAAGAATAATGCACATCATTCTTTTTATAAACTACCATAGAAGATGTCTAGTTTTTAAATCCAAGGAGGTTAACTGGATTTAGTGGTGACGTAGCAAACTTGCTGGCAATGTCAAAACACTATTCTTGTTTGTGAGTATAGATATCAGTGCACTAAAATAGAATAGCCCTACCTCTCAAAGACCTTTTTCACAGCAAGTCCATAGAGAAAGATTAAAAATTAGGGTTGTGCTGCATTTTGGATCTGAAGCCACAGAAGTAGTTCAGAGTGGGTATGAGCCCACACACCATCTCTGTCAGTGGCTCCTCAAAAAATGTGGGTCTTTTCTGGGCTTTCAGGTAGCCATGCAATCCCAAGAAAATAAGAGTTAGACTTAAGGGGACACCAACAGTGTACCCACGCCTGGCCTGAAACATCTTGCCAAGCCTCGTCAGCTCCTTCTTAATAGTTGGGGTAGGAGCACACTGCAGCCAAATTAAAATGCTATCCATCGTTCTTGGGCTGGCAGAAAACTGTAATGTTATAGAAGTTGCTGCTCATGGGGGCCATGCCTATCCTATCACAGGAACAATGCCTGGAAAAGTTACTATCCTTATTTGTGCTATACGGAGCATGTTAAAGGACAGGAATGGTGGATTTCAAACTTCACCATCTGATAGGAAAGCTTTCACCAATCATTCTTCTTAATGTAAGATGGAGCTGGGGCTGGGAGGAGGTGAGTTTTGACTCGTTTTGATGGCTAGACCATTGGATTCAGCCCTCAGACAAAAACCTTTTGGGCTTTTCAAGTGTTTTTTATATTTCTGCATTCAAAGCTTATAATTGGCCTACTTTGGAATATGAGTTTACTGCTGTTCCAGAATATCAGCTGATACCAGTTGATAATCAGGCTCCTTTTGGACAAAAGTTTAGAACTTTTCCATGAGAAGACCAAACGGATATTGGCCAAAGCCAGTAATGAGTAGGTCCAAATTCTTCTCTCTCATCATCTCTTCCTTTCTCTTTCTCTCTCTGAAGTAATTGCTCAGATAATGCTTTTGAAATTATGTTAAGAGCAGCATGAAATTAAGCTGAGGGCTGTATGTTGGTCTTATGGTACATTGACCATATTTTCTTGGAAAAAATAAAGGACAAACCTAAAGAAGAGGCAAATCTGAAAGAGATTCATAAGGATAAAAAAATAATTGTTTATGTTTATAATTTTTCTTTACATTCTGGTCTGTGACCGTAATAAAAGATTGATTGATCGATTGATTGAACTTTGCGTTACAAAGGAAAATTCAAGAGCAAAACCAAGAAAACAAATCATTAAATTAAATAAATCTAAAGAACAGCTTTCTGAAATAAAGGGCTGTCCTTTATAATAAAGGATGTATGGTCACTGTATCATATGGCCACAGGCCGCCCACCTTTGCTTTAGAGCTTCTAGATAGATAATTCATGCTGGCCATCACTAGTATATCTCAATACGTATGCTGATGAACTGCTAAATAACACCCAGTGGGATTTTTTTTCCTACAGCAAAAGTTATGAAAAGGAATGAAAATTATTAGGCTAAAGACAGGAAAATAAGAGATCATATGGCAGCTCCATTGTACCACAAATATCTCTTGCCATAAACTCACCCAGGTAAAGAACAAAGGAAACAAGAATGCTGCTTAAAACCATATTCACCAATACACCCTTTCACCTGGAGAACTGAAGGCCGTGACAAGTTCCTGGCAGGAAATATAAAAATCATCAGAAAAAATCAGCTTGGCTTATTCTAAACATGTCTTGTAGCATTCAGCATGTAGGGCAAAAACAACTAATATAATGAATGATCATTTCCATTGGTTTGCAGTTAACCATTTAATAAGTTGGTCTTCTTATTAAATTAGTCAGAACATTAAAGATATGGCTGCCATCAATCTCCCCCCAATAATAGTTAGTAGATGAATGTATAATCCAGTATTCTACAAGGACAAGCAGCAACCAATGAATTGAGGGTGTTAGGTTCAAGGCTGGATAATACAACCTCCCCTCCCCAAAGGACCCACATTGTAGCTTTAAGATGGGAGTTGAAGTCCATCCATCTTAAATTTGCCAGAGCTGAGGAATCCTGCTTTAGGGCACAGGGTGGATTAGCCTCCTAGCAAGATAACTTACTTCATGTGAGAAATTTACTATGGGGACTGATGAGCTGCGTTGCTTGCTACTTGTTTTATTGTGGGGATTATTCGCTATCCCTACTGAAAAAAAAAATCATGAGGCAAAGTTCATTTGAAGGGAATATCTACTTCTTCATCATAGAGAATTTAACAAAAAGAATGGAAAACACTCACAAATGCTGAGACAGTACAAATAATTACTATAAGTAGATTGCATCATTGTTATTGTTAACCATTCTTGTCCTGCCTTCTATCTCTATTCTTACTTGTTTATTTTATTTATTTATTTATAAATCAGATTTATACCCTGTCCATCTCACTATATGTGACTCTAGGCGGCTCACAAATAAGAAGCATAAAAACAGTTAAAAAACTACAAAACAAGTTAAAAGTTGTTACTTACTTACTTACCTTCTATCTCTAGTCTTACTTCTTAAGATAAAGAAGGCTATACCTGCTCCCTAATCTAACACCTGCCAAGGGAGGAGGAACAATAGTTGCCTAAAAGCAACATTCTCATAAACAAAAGGTCATCTCTGGACTTCCAGGGGAGGGGTGGCAAACTGAAGATGTCTCCATGAAAATGGAGCTGATGACCACAGCAAAGACCAAAGAACTGGAGAGTAGACCAGTTCTTTGGAACCTTTATGGATAAAGAAAGGACAGGAGATTGCCCACATATGCTCCAGATGGCAGGACAGCGGTCTTCTGGGGGTTTGAGCACCGGGAGATGAAGGGATCAGCCATCTTGCTCGCAGCCACAGTGGAGCCTTTTAAAAGGAACTAAGTTTGCAAGCCTCACTTTCTAATCACTTTCGGAAATTGCCTATTAGCCATCTTAAAGCTATTAGAGACCTTTGGAATGACAAGTCTGAAAAGTTGCTGGGTGAGTTCAACTTCAACTCTGAACAAAAGAAAAATTAATTACAAGCTTAAGAACTTAAAGAAGTTGAAATAAATAGCAAAAAGCTAAATAAGATTTTGATCTAAGAAAGTTACAAATGGATTAAGAGTCCAGTTAAATCTGGAATATTGACTTTTACAAGCTATTAGAGACCTTTGGAATGACAAGTCTGAAAAGTTGCTGGGTGAGTTCAACTTCAACTCTGAACAAAAGAAAAATTAATTACAAGCTTAAGAACTTAAAGAAGTTGAAATAAATAGCAAAAAGCTAAATAAGATTTTGATCTAAGAAAGTTACAAATGGATTAAGAGTCCAGTTAAATCTGGAATATTGACTTTTACTATAAGATTTTGGAATTAACTATAAAAAATAAATAGCTTCTCATGGGAATCAGAGTTATTTTTTAAGAGTCCAGTTAAATCTGGAATATTGACTTTTACTATAAGATTTTGGAATTAACTATAAAAAATAAATAGCTTCTCATGGGAATCAGAGTTATTTTGGCTATCTTGGTTCATAACAAAGATAAGTGACTTTATGATTTTAGAAACTGGATACTAGAGGGGACTAAAGATTCTAAGTAGAAGGGAAAAAAAATACAAACCAGCTTTTGGTGTCAGTTAACTGGGACTAACAAAATGACACAAAATGTCATAACATTGGAAATATTAAAGGAGATCTTTGGAGCCAGAAATTAGTAGCTACTATATCAACAGTGTCAACAGTGATGTCTGATTCTATGGATAGATTATGTCCAAAAGATGTCAATGTGGGAATGACAGATATGGAGCAAATTTTCTCTGAAAAGACAGAGAAAGTATCAAAAGTGGAACTACAATGACAGGCCAAGAGAATGATTTGGAAAAGGATGCTTTACTGGATATACAAAGAAACTGGCTGAAGTTTTAAAAATTAAATGGGAAATACAAATGGCAAACCAAGAGAATGACCTGGAAAATGTTTTCTTAGTGGATCTACAAAAAAGGCTTGTTAAACCCTTAAAGAAGTCTGTGGAATAAAGAAGAATTGAAGAGAAATCAAATCCTACAACAATATTTGAATGAACTAAAGATTAAGACTGTTAAAAGTAAAAGGAAGGAATATAGGAATAAAGAAGAATTGAAGAGAAATCAAATCCTACAACAATATTTGAATGAACTAAAGATTAAGACTGTTAAAAGTAAAAGGAAGGAATATAGGAATAAAGAAGAATTGAAGAGAAATCAAATCCTACAACAATATTTGAATGAACTAAAGATTAAGACTGTTAAAAGTAAAAGGAAGGAATATAGGGTTGGTTTATTTGATCAAGGTTAAAGTAAGACATTTATTTGCAAAGGCAACCTTTTACAGACTTTTTGCTGACACCAGAATTGAAAAGTTGATGTTTTATGGATTTGCTTATAGATAAGGGAAGAGAGATGGATTGAAGAGATATCTGCTTCTAACCTTATGATGGTAAAAAGTTACTAAATTTGTCTATATGTGTTGTAATGAAGGTTAGAAATCACTTCTTTAAATATTGTTCTTTTTCTTTATTATATTCTTTCTTTTTTCTTTCTTTTTCTTTTTTCTTGCATTTTTTATTCTTTCTTATTATTCTTTTTTTCTTTATTTAAGTTTAGTTTGTATTAGTTTGTACTATTGTAATCAAAATCCTTAATAAAAAAAATTATATGCCAAATAACCAAAAGGTCATTTCTCAAGATATTGACCAGATTCTGTAGGTCATCACACCATCCCCAAGTGGTGTCTGCTAGAGGCTCTGTCTTCCCTAAAAATATCCTTGGCAGAGATTCCACAGTCTAAGATTATGATCAAGTCCCTGATAAGCAGGTGCTACTAAGCCATCCCCAGAGTTATTGTTTATACTCCCTGTCTCTTAAGAAAACTGGCAAAAGGTGGCAAAAGTGCCCAGACAGTTTGAATTTTAGCATAGACTCAAAGTCCTGGGAGAGTGCTGCATAATTATCAGCTTTGTGTGATCCATCTGCTGCCATTTGGGGGGTTCCTAGCATGTTGAAGGGACAAGGATCGTGATAACTACTAACTCTCTGAATATTTATTCAGTAAATTCCTCTTTGGCATTTTACCCTGCGTTGTGCTTATTGCATTTGAATCCCAAAGAACCTATAGGCTGACAACTGGCCACCAGGCTGCCAAGACACTCTTCCTTTCTGTTGTGAAGGAATGAGGGAGAGACAGTAAGCATACTATAATTGTGCTGCATAAATACAGGTGACCACTAGATGGCAGCAAGGAAACATATAAAATGTTTTAACTCTTCCTTATATGAAAGATTTGCCTTGGAGCTCAGGGAGTAGTACTTATGACCCTGACACCATGCATTTTCTTAATGGAACATGTGAATGGGTAGCCTGCAAACCTCACCCCTGCCAAGCCTTGAGTCCAGTGTGCAGATCTCCCTCCAAGTTCATGATAGATCATGATTTTTATATGACAGAGAGGGCATATTGTTATATACAAGGAGAATATTTTAATTTATATTTCATTCATTTAAATTAAATTAAATGTCATGCTTATTCATGAACCAACTTTAAGCATGTGGCTCCCACCGCTCTCTCCAAGCTATGCCAGCAAATCTGGAGAATGACACAGTGGACAACCGATTGGAAGAGGTCAATCTACATTCCAATACAAAAAGAGAGAGTTAACAGTGTGTGCAAACTATTGTACAATATCCTTAATTTCACACGCTAGAAAAATAAAGCTTAGGATCATCCAACACAGATTAGAGCCCTACATGGAAAAAGAGACACCAGATGTTCAAGCTGGCTTTAGAAAAGGCTGAGGAACACAAGATATTATTGCTAAAGCAGGCTGGATAATTGAGAAAGCCAAAGAATACCAAAAATAAATCACTATGTGTTTCATCGATTATAGAAAGGCCTTTGATTGTGTCAATCATGTCAAGCTGTGGAATGTGCTCAGAAATGTGGGAATCCCAGAACATCTGATTGTCCTCATGAGAAACTTATGAACTTGGTGAAACAGACTGGCTCCAGGTTGGAAAAGAAGTGTCACAGGGCTGTCTACTCTCCCCTTATTTATTCAACTTACATGCTGAATATATATTAAGGGAAGCTGGATTAGAAGAAGATGAGCATGTTTTTAAAATTGGAGGAAGAAACATCAATACCTTGCACTATGCTGATGACACTGCCAATAGCCAAAAATACAAAGGATCTGCAAACCCTAGTACTAAAAGTCAAAGAGCACAGTGAAAAAAATGGAACTAAAATTAAATATAAAGATCAAACTAATGACAACAGGTAGAACAACAAGCCTTAGAATTGGCAATGAAGATATCAAAATCATGGATAGCTTCTGCCTTTTAGGTTAAACCATCAACAGTAAAGGAGCAAGCAGTTAAGAAATACACTGCAGACTAGCACTTGGTAGAGCAGCCACAAAGGCCTTGGAAAAGATATTCAAATGCCATGATGTGTTCATACCTACAAAGATCAGAATCATGCAAGCCATGGTGTTCCCTATGATACTCTATGGAAGTGAAAATTGGACTTTGAAGAAGCAGGATGGGAAGAATATTGACACCTTTGAACTTTGGTGTTGGAGAAGTCTCCTGAGAATACCGTGGACAGCTAAGAACAGAAACCAACAGATCATCAATCAAATCAACCCA